AAAAAAAAAAAAAAAAAAAAAAAAAAAAAAGAAAAAGAAAAGACAAAATCAGCCAGCCCTAGATCATGGGTATGTGTATACCTGGTATACTCAGTGTGATCTCACATGTGCCAGGTGTGAGTTTAAACCACTGGGTCCGGGACTTGAACCACGGTCGACTACATGGAAGTCCAGCGATATAACCATTATACCAACATCCCACCAGATGTAGATTTCTGGGTTGACAATTTTTGTTTTTGTTTTTCTTCAGTGCTTTAAACATATCACACTACTTTCTGGCTTTCAAGGTTTTTGATGAGAAATTATGATGGTCTTATTAAGCATCCCTAATATATGATCAGTTGCTTTTTTCTTGCTGCTTTCAAGAGTCTTCTTTGTCTTCATCTCTGTATACTATAATTATAATGTATCTTAGTTTGGTTCAGATCAGGTTTGTTCTTTTTTTAATGTATTAAGGTTCTTAGATTTGTACATCCAGGTTTTTCATCAAATTTGAGAATTTTTCAGTCATTATTTTAAAAAATATTTTTGAGTGAAATAGAAATATATAGTATTATAGTGTTAACATTACAACTAACATTCTTAGAGGAAAATTTATAGCTTTTAATACTTCTTAGTAAAAATGGAAGTTTGGGGCAGCCCCATTGCCTCATAGTGAAGGTAGTTGGAGCTCATATGGCCAACTGTGCAGTTTGAGTCTCAGCCCCAGTGACTTGAAAAACATACTGGACAGGACCAGCAGTTAGCATAATGGCTATGTCGTTGGACTCCCATGTAGTTGACCACGGTTCGAGTCCCGGGCCAGGCTGCCTAAACTCACGCTGGGTGCGTGTGCGTGCGTGCCCAAGATCCAGAGAGGAGAATGGAGGAGAAGGGATTGTGGCGTGGCCATCCCCCCTGGTGGGGGGGGTGATTTTTCGCTTTCTGTCTCTCTGTCTCTGTCTGTTTGGCGAGTACACGTGCCTATAGCAAAAACCTCTCAAAAGAAAAAAAAAAAACAAACCAAAAAACCACACTGGACAATGTACATTTTTGCCTGAAATCCTGACAGGATGGAGAAATGGAGAAGGGATTATGGTATGATCATACCCCACAGGGGAGTACTTCCTTCTCCCATCCTCATCTCTCTGTAACTCTTTGGTAAGAGC